ATAATTCTTTTTTAATATACTGTGATGTCTAAATTGTGTTTTTAACAGTTACGGAGTAACTGAACTCCTTTTCTTTGGGCTTTATGACTCACACTTTATAATGCCTGTCTTGCTGCTTTTAACCCTTGTTCCTTTTTCCTAAGAATTCCTTATTTCTGGCCACGTACTGCTTTGGTTACATTTGGAATTTAATTTATAAAACATCTAGTTCCACTTGTCTCATCAGATATGAGTTGTCAAATTTCCTGTCTCAGGTACCACTCTAGCTATTTCTGCTTGTTGGAAAAAGAAAGAACCAGGAATCTGACCGGGATCTTGAAGTAGGGTTGGGAATGTATTTAACAAATATTTCTGGGACTAAACATGCATAAAATGACCACTAAATACATTTGGAAACAAGAAGATGTTGCTAGATTCTTTGGCTTACTCTTCTAACCTCTTGCTAGTGAAATAGATGACTTATTGCTTTGTAACCATTACCTCAACCCTTTAAAAAAGTTATTATTTCCAGTTTTATACATGAAGAAACAAACTCAGAGGTTTCTCTAAGTTCTTTGTTCAGCATCACAGAAATATTGTAAGTCAGAGTTACATTCAAAAGTTTCCCAAACCATAAAATTATACATTAAATATACTTAAAATATGTGTGACAACAGTCTGGAACAATGGGTGAATTGTAAGGTGAAAGGAGCAGTATGAAAATATGCAACAGTGAACAAAATAAATATACTTAACAGTGAAGATACTAGGATTTTTACATGTATGTTGCTGCTTTGATTCATAAAGTCTATAAAAAAGGGAAACATGATGGTTTGACTTGACTTAGCAGTTGCAATATCAAATTTGGCATTCTCTATGCTTTGCAGTTATCTGTTGAAGAATTTAAACCATCTAGTCCTATGGTGATCTGGTGGCTTAGGGGTATTGAATTGCACTGCCATTTCAAACACATGTGGGTCAAATCAACCAGTTCCTCCATGAGAGAAAAATGGACACTCTGTTCCCATGCAGTTTACTGCTGCCTCTGAAAATCCACTGGAAGGTCAGTTTCAACTAGTTGGTACTCAGCAACAGTCTCAGGAGAGTTCTGGTGGCGGAGTGGTAAGGATTTGCATTGCCAGTCTTAAGGCATGTGATTTGAATCTGCCAACTGCCCCGTGGGAGAAAGATGGACATTCTCTGATAGGATTTACTGCCTCTGAAAACCTACTTGAGGGTTAAGGCATGTGATTTGAATCTGCCAACTGCCCCGTGGGAGAAAGATGGATCTGCCAACTGCCCCGTGGGAGAAAGATGGACATTCTCTGATAGGATTTACTGCCTTTGAAAATCTACTTGAGGGTTAGATGTGAGTCAGGTTCTGACATGAAGGTACTTAGCAAAATTTCAATTTCAGATTCAGAGCTTACAACTGGTTCATTCCCATTCAGCCTGTGCTGACCACTTGCTACCCAAGATATCCCAAATTGGAATCTAGAGGTAGTTGGAGTTGCTCAGATGATTGTTTTTGACCTTTCTCTGTGATTTATTGATTGATGGAACCAATAATGTATGCAGCATATTGCCATTGGAAGATTACTCATTTTAAATTAAAGATATCTGGGATTGAATCCATGATTTGAACTTGCCCAGGGAGCCCTTTGAGGTATTGCATATGTGACAGGCTACTAACTGAAAAATTGGTGGTTCAACTCCAGCAAGCACCACTTGGAAGACATAAGAGTCATCTTCTGTAAAGATTTATAGTCTGAGAAATTGGATGGAGAGCCCTGTGAGTGGAATAGACTGGAAGGCAGTTGGAATCACTATGTAATCTTTTTGAAATTATCTCTTTTTTAATATTTAAAATTTCTTTTGTAAAATGAGAATACTATCTTAATAAAAACATATTGGAAAAAACTACAGAAGACACAGCAATCCTTCAGAAGTATTTGACAGCAAAAAGACAAGACGAGGTTTAAGAGAGGCTTCTGGAACAGTGTAACTGTAGTAGGCTTGGTCATGACGGCGTTGGAGAATGGTGCAGTTAGGGCCAGGTTTCCATCTTCTGTTCCACCAGCTGCTCATAGGGTTACTATGAGTTGTGGTGACTCATTGGCACCCAGCAATAATGGAGGAGTTCTAAATCTTGATTTGGGGATGATTTCATTACTAAAACTCATAAAACTTTACACCAGAAAGTTCATTCTATTATGTGTAAGTTACACATAAATAACTAAAACTTAATTTTTATTAAAAAGCTTTTTGTTCTTGTTAAGTGCCATCAGGTCGAGTATGACTCGTAATGACCCTCATAGTGAAGAACAGGTCTGACTCTTGTCCTAACTTCTGCCTCCTCACCATTTCTATTGCACTCGAGCCCATTGCTGTAATCACTCTGTCCATCTTCCTTCCAAGCATGATATTCCTTCCCTGGGAATTGCATCTCTTAGCAGCATGCCCAAAGTATGAAAGACAATGCTTTTCCATCCTTGCCTCTAAGAGCACTCTGGCTAAACCCTTTCTAAGACATACCTGTTCATCCTTTTGGCAATCTGTGGGATATTCAGTACCTGCCTTTTTAAAACCATTCCCAGAATCTGCAGTGATGACTAGCCTTGGGAAAATACCCACTAAACACTTGTCCAAGTATAATTATTTCCTCAACTGAAATCTTGACCACTCTTTCATATATGCTCCAGTTATTAAAGGATCTAGTTCATGTATAATAGAATGTAAGGAAAAAATCCATAGATGAAAATAAGCAAATTACAAATTTCTGAATAAAGCACATTGAAAGAAATTTCTTCATTGGAAGAAATTAAAGCAATTATGCAAGAGTCATTTGGGGTCCTTTTTCAAAAGCTTTTCTCTCAAACCCAAGTCCTCTGTCTGATACCTTGGCAAAGTTGCTAGGAATCTAGGTTTTTAATACATACAGTCAACTGCTTATTTAGTTCTAGAAAGTTTTAGAAGTGCTGAGTAGACCACAGCATAGTTCTTATATATATATATATATATATATATATTTTTTTTTTTTTATCTTCCCTCCCCAAAGTATGCACCTGAAAATTATGTCTCTAGGAAAACAGACATCTCTGTTTTACCTCATTTTTGTGCTTAAACTTTATTTTTTAACTCAAGGACTATATTTCAGTAATTGTGTCCAGTATCAGCACTGTTGTTGCTGTGTACCCATTGGGTCTGATCCAATTCACAGCTGACCCTCTAGCAGGTTTTCAGAGGCAATAAATCATACAGGAGGAGATTGCCCATCTTTCCCTTGCAGAGCAGCTAGTGGATTCGTACCACATGCCTTGGGGTTGGCACCACAGCTCCACTAAGCCACCAGAGCGCCTTAATACCAGAACTTGTTACTGTTGTTGTGTACCAAGTCAGAACCAACCCATAGCTGACCCTCCTGTGGTTTTCAGGGACAGTTAATCTCACAAGAGGAGATTGCCCATCCTTCTCCCATAGAACAGCTGGTGGCCTCGAACCACCTGTATTTGGAATTGCAGCACAGCTTCTTGCCAGTAGAGCTTCCTAATATCAGTATTAGTAATCCTAAATATCTGTGTCTCTTTCAGCATTTAAGATCCTATATTTTTGTTCTTATTTAGCTTCCCATCCCATTTGTTTATTTTCACCCAAGAAACCCATTTCTGTCAATTAGGAGACATGTTTGTTGAACACATATTGTGTGTATAGTAAATCATTGTACCAGTTACTAAAAGAAATGCAGTGTAGCATAAGACAGTCTGTTCTTAAGGAGTTTATTGTCTGCTAAGTACATTAAGATACTAACATGACACATTTTGTCTGATGTAATAATAAGCTTCATTCAAATTGTATATTTATAAAACAGTAACCTTAAGTATTGAAGACTTCATTCAAATACTAAATCTGTCATACTCTAAAAATTTAGGTCAGGCACTGTTAAGTGGCAAAATGGAACACAGTGGAAGGGATAGACCTCGATCGGCATCTGCCCACTGGGTCAGGAAAGCCTAAAGGGAAGGCACACCCACTCTGTTGTTGTTGTTGTTGTTGATTACCTTCAAGTCAAGCATGACTCATTGCTACTCTATGAACAAAAGGCCTGAAGCCCCTCTACAACTATCAACATTTATCAAAGTTCATAGAGTATGAGGTATGGCATCAAATCTTGCAAAGAATAGATTGAGGTTGAATGTAGATAGGACTTGAGAAGATGAGGATAATCAAGTATTGGAATGGAGCACAGTAGATGAGTAGGTAAAAATGTTCATGGTGCAAGATGCTGCAATGCAATTCAAGAGGTTTGAAATTTGAAAAAAAAAAAGAGATTTGAAATAAAATTCAAATCCACCAGATGCTCTACTGGAGAAGGAGGGGGCAATCTCCTCCTGTACCAGTCAGATCTGATTTGACGGTACATGTAAAAATAATACAATAAAAATGAAAATTAAAAAATTAAAAAAAAATAATTACCTAAAAGAAAAAATTATCTAAAAAAAAATGGTCATGGTAATTTTACTTCTTGAGTTGGTTAAATGAAATGGTTCCTTTTCAATCATTGTGCTTTTATTTTTACTTCCCCCTCTTTATGCTTTTTCCTAAATGTGATTGTTACGCACTGTCATGTTAGAACTGACTCATAGCAGACCCTCCCGTGGTTTTTATAGGCAGCAAATCAAATGGGAGGAGATTGCCCATTTTTCTCGCATGGAGCAGCTGGTGGATATGAACTGTGTACCTTTGGGTGGCAGCACAGTTCCTTTCCTCTGAGCCACTAGAGCTCCCTAAAGTCCTCTAGTAGTATCAGTAACACAGGATGCTTTCAACTGTCCTGTTGTTTTTTTTACAGATATTTACAGTGATCTTAGAAATCAATTTTTTTAAAAAAATCAATTAAAACTTAATGTTTATGCATTCCTAACAGTGATCTCTCTTTGTTAACTCATCAAAGGAAATGTTAAAACTAATAGAATTAATGTGGAAAACAAAGGACTTAATAAAAAATAATGTTTGTATTTCAGAGGTTAAAAGCTGCTTTGACCCAGCAACATCCTCCAGTTACCAATGGTGATACTGCCAAAGGCCATGCTAGTGGACTGGTTAGAACTCAGTCAGAGGAATCTCGACCACAGTCTTTACAGCAGCCAGCTACGTCCACTACAGAAACCCCGGTATGTATATCATTTTTATCATCCAACATTCTGTTGTTAATCATCCTTAAAAAACAGCTAATAGTAAAACGTAAATGACTACATCATGAACTTGGAAATTTTTTTTTTAATCTGAAATATAGATCAAAAGGAATAGTTCTTGTTGTTCTTGACAGTTTCCGTCAAATTGATTCCAATTCATGATGTTCCTGTGTGTACAGGAGAGAGCTGTTCTGTGGGGTTTTTAACATTCTGACCTCTTAGAAGCAGATTGCCAGGCCTGCCCTCTTAGACACCCCTGGGTTGGTTTGAACCTCTAGTCTTTTAGCTAGTGCTTACCGAACTGTGCCCCTCAGAGACTCCAGCAGTTGAAAGTAAAGGTATTAATACTGATTCATTGCTGACCCTCCAGCGGGTTTCCAGAGGCAATAAATTTCATGGAAGAAGATTGCCTTTCTTCCTCCCGGCCTTTGAATTGGCCGTGCAATTCCTTGACACTAAGCCACCAGAGCTCCTTTAATTTAAAAAAAAAAAAAGAATGAAAAGAAATGTTGTAAAATATTGCCCTTTGTTAATTTACTTTTGTTAAAATCTGCCTTTTTATGTAATTCATACTCGGCTTCTAGGAAATAAAAGTATTTTAGAGACATACAAAGATACAGATTTATATAAATACAGACATACACTTATTTATATGTATGTATAACATTACTAACATAAACATTTCTTGAATTAAAACTTGTCATTCAAAGAACTGATAAAATTTAGCGCAGTTGTATTTATAGTTGTCATTGAGTCAACTCTGATTCATCACGATCCAGTGAACCTTGCCCTTTGTTGTGTCATCTTCCCTATCTCTCATGTTTGAGCCCATTGTTAACCATCTTGTTGATGGTCGTTCCTTTAGAGGTCCTTTTTTACTTAACCTTTGTGATTGCTTGTTAGATGTCTCTCTCTCTCTCTCTCTCTCTCTCACACACACACACACACACACAAACACACTGTTGTTATGTGCCATCGAGTTGCTTGCGACTCATAGCGACCCTATGTACAACAGCCCTAAACCCTGCTCTAGGCCAATCGCACTGCCTCTGACACACCCATCCGAATACCCCAGTCACTGAGTCTATCCACCTCATCAATCTTCCCCTCTTGCGCTGTCCCTCCACTCTCCCAAGCATGATGTCCCTGTCTAAGGACCTGTCCCTCCTTACAACGTGTCCAAAGTATGTCATACGAAGACCCAGAATCCTTGCCTCCAAGGAATAGCCTGGTTTAACCCTCCCCATACATATCTGCAGTTATATATTTCTACAAGGAAAGGTAACTAGGTTTTTGTTAAGTATTTTCAGATATCATATTTAAGTATTTATCTTCTCAAAATGTATGTGTCTTGACATTTTAAAGCTTTCTAATCAATAGAGATAAATAGCTTACTTTTTAAATTGCCTCTTTAGCATAGGTATTTAGATAACCATATTTAATCTTTATAAAAAGATACTTGAATTAAACATAGTACAATGTGTCATCTAATTAATAATGGTGTTTTACATTTGGAAAGGGTTTTTGGGTTTGGTTTATTTCTTTTTAAAAAAAGAAAGGAAAATAAACAAGGAATGTGCCTTAAAGGCGTATAAAATATTTATTACTATTGATCTCTGCAGGATTTTGCCAACCCTTCTTAATACAGTAATTTATTTTTATTAAGTCTTTGTTTCCTTTGCCTCAGTATGACGGTAGGGAGTTGCTGTGCCAGTCCAGAGGCATATTTTGAATCCTACAGCTGTTCTGCTAGAGAATGATAGGCAGTTTTTCTCTCATGCAACTTACAGCCTTTGAAAACCTGTTGGACAGTCAGCTGTGAGTGGATTCTGAATCGATGGCATACAAGAACAAGAGTACCCTGAATCTGGTTTTTATTTGTATCTGCTGTGTATTTTATTGTATTAGGTTTAAGCTCAGTGAGGGCAGGACTCTTACTTGTTTTGTTCTCTACTATATCCTTAATTTCTAAATATTTACTATAACTTTTTTTAACTCTAGATTTTCATTTTTGAGACCAAGAATATTGATTCTAGATTTCAACTTTTTTTAAAAAAAAAACAAACAACTAATAGTAAAACCATAGTGATATAATATATCCATAGTGATAGGTTCTGATCTTGATGGAATCTTTTATATTAATAAAAATCATAATTTTAACACCTAAAAAAAAACCAAACAAACCAGGGAGCTCTGGTGGCCTAGTGGCAAGAAACTGCACTGCAGTCCCATAGGTATGCAGTTCAAATCCACCAGATGCTTTGCTGGAGAAAGGACAATCTCCTCCTGTACCAGTCGGATCCAGTTTGATGGTACACACAAAAAAATTAAACACACACACACATACACACACAACCACACCAAACCATTGAAAAGATTTTTCCTGTTTTTTCCATTTTTGCACATTTTCTTCCCCCTCCCTACCCTCTCTGCAGTGCACCCCTTGTTCCAAATTATTGTCATACATATAATGCCTAGTCATATATTCCTTTCAAACAGTTCTTATCCTCAGTGTTCATTTTCTGTCCCCTTTCCCCCCATTCTTTCCTCAACCCTCTCCATGTCCATCTTGTTTTATAACAGTGGTGTTAAGTAATATTTGTCCTTTTGTGACTGAGATTATTTAACTCAGCACACTGTCCTCCAAACTGCCCTAAAGTTATGTAATGTTTTACAAGTCATTGTTTTTCAATGCTATGTAATATTCTGTTCTGTGAATGTACTACAATATTTCTATCCATTCATTTGTTGATGGGCACTTGGGTTGCTTCCATCTCTTTGCTGTTGTGAATAATGCAGTAATAAACATGAGTGTGTATTCATCTGCTCAAGTCAAGGCTCTGGTTTCATAGGATATATTCCCTGTAGTGGGATTGCTGGATCAGATGTTAATGTGTATTTTAAACTTTTTGAGAAAGCACCAGATTGCCTTTCATAGCAGCAGTACCCTTTTAACATTTTCACCAGCAGTGAACAAGAGCTCCAGTCTCTCCACAATCTCGCCATCATTTGTTGTTTTACTGGTCTGTTGAATTTTGCTGTTGTTACTAGGACTATAATTATTTTTAATGAATGAACAGGAGGAGAGAGAGAAAAAGAGGAGGAATTTATTCTCCTTTCTGTTCCATTCCCATTGAGTCAGGGCTGATTCTCCAGCAAGTTCCTTTTAATAGTAGGAGGAGATTGCCTTCAGTTCTGCTGATGAATTCTAACCACCTGGAGATATGATCTTCAGTTTAACAATGCAGCTTCCTATGTTCTATTCCATCAGAGCTCCCATATTCTCTCAGAGAGCCTCAAGTCCATGTTGTTATTATTAGTTGTCATTCATTCAATTCATACTCAGTGTGAGTCTATTTCTAACTAGAACTTCCTTTGTGGGTTTGTTTTTATTGTGGGTTTTTTGTAGCTATAATCTTTACAGAAATAGGAATATTTTCTTAGAACCACTGAGTGGATTCAAATTGTCAGTCTTTAGCTTAGCAATAATGAACGAACTACACTTAGGGTTTTCAAATCATTAGTAGGCCTAAAAATATTTAACTCTTTTATGATTTGTTTAGCAACTATAGCAAGAATAAAATCTGTATACAAAATGACTGACTAATATTTTGACAGTCATAAGGCCTAAGATTGTTAGGTCAGGAATTACAGGAAAGAATTATGGCAAAGTATCTTATTTATAGTCTGAAAGTAGAACACTCCCATAGGAACCTCCTTTTTTGCTCTTAAGACCTTAAACTAATTGGTTTAACAGAGATTAATGGAGAGTGATCTGCTTTGCTTAGCATGAACTGATCTAATCACATCCACACTAGTATTTGCGCAAACAGCTATATACCATTTCTTTGTCCATCTTACACACTAAATTATCTATCACAGCAACAATTTTAAACACAATTCATTATAAATAAAAGATTGTTTTCTGGTTTCTCCTTTGCATTATATTTCTGTGGCTTTAAAGTTCTATCATCTGTATAAATTTGGAGACTTCATTTCCTAATTTCCCATATTCAAGTGTTCTGTGGCACTCTTGGGAGGGACCTTGAGAGGCATAGGTTACAAATTACTCCATAATCCTAGGAATATCATTGCTGATATATCAGATGAATCATGGCTGAAAGCAGAGAATACCAGAAGAATGTCTTATTTGTGTTTTATTGACTATACAAAGGTGTTTGACTGTGTGGATTAGAACATATTTTGGCTATCATTGAGAAATATGGGAATCCCAGAACATGGGATTATGCTCACACAAAACCTATACTTCAAAAAAGAAGCTGTTGTTCTAACAGGAAAAGAGAACACTACATGATTTAATGTCAGGAAAAATGTGTATCAGGGGTGTATCCTTTCTCCTTACCTATTCAATCTCTATGTTGAGTAAATCATTCAAGAGTTTAGTCTATATGAAGAAGAATGTGACATCAGGATGAAGACTCATCAACAATATCTGTTATGCAGATGTGACATCCTTGCTTGCTGAATGAAAGTGAGGAAGACGTGAAAATGCTTGGTACAAAAGAGCAAAGACTACATATAGCCTTCAATAGGGATTGCATCTTGACATTGAGAAGACAAAAATCCTCACCACTGGGCCAATAAGCACCATTACGGTTGATGGAAAAAATGCTGAAGTTGTCAATGATTTCATCTTACTTGGATTCACAACCAACACCTTTGGTATCAGCATCAAGAAATCAAAAGACATACAACATTGGGAAAGTCTGCTGTCAAGGATATCCCCAAAGTATAAAGAGCAGTAGTGTCAGTTTTAAGACTAAGGTGATCCTGATTCAAGCCATGGTATTTTCAGTCTCTTGCTATATATTTGAAAGTTTAATAATGAATAAGGATGACAGAAAAAAACCTAATTCTTTGAGCTGCGATGTTAGAGAATGATTATCCCGTGAACTGTCAAAAGAGGAAACAAATGTCTTGGAGAAAGTGCAACCAGGGTGTTCGTTAGAAGCAAGAATGGCAAAGCTTTTTCTTGCATATTTAGGGCATGTTGTTAGGAGGAACCAGTCCTGGAGAGGGACATCATTCTTGGAAATATGGGGGGTCATTATGAAGTTTATTATTCAAAATGGCTTTCCTAGCCACTGAACTTAACTTTGTCCTGTGGATGGGCAGGTATATGCGCATAGGGCATGTTAGCCTATCCACAAGGGGATTGACTCTCACAGCGATCCTCAAGGGGATTGGCAAGTCTTGCCATTATTAAATCGAGTGATTCAGCAGCAGCAAGAGAATGTAGCACATCCTTCTGGCCCCAGAATTCTTGCTCCACTTACACCTACAGCAGCAGCAGCAGCGATAGCTGAACCAGAGAACCAAAATGAGATGAAGCTACCTGGGGACTGCTATCTCCTTTGGACAAAATTGGAGCTAAGCTTGGAGTCTTTGCCCAAATTTGTTGGACAGTTTGGGGGAGGCGGAAGAAGAGCCAATATTGGGCAGGACTGAGAACTTTGTGACAGGTTTAAAGCTATAAGACTCAAGGCGGAGGTCCCTGCGTGCACATTTCGGAAGCTCTCCTGATTGAGTAACTGTATTTGGCTACTAACCTGGATTTATAGCCTTTTGACTTCCCCAGTATAGTTCTGTGTGGTCTGTGAGCTAGCCCATCAGATTTTAGACCCAGCAAAGTAATGAGATTGGTGTTGATATGAGTAGAAAGAGAAACAAGAGCGTAGGGGATGTGTCAGACCTCATGGAAATTGGCTTTGAGTTAATGCTGTTGACATGAACAGTTCCCTTTTGTGAGGTCAGTAGAGATTAGACATGGCCATCCCCACATGGTCCTTGCTCATCAACAGAAGAGAGGAAGACTTTCCTACAACAAGGTGGTTGACATTGGGCTCAAGTATATCAGAAAATGATATACTTGATGATATACAAGAAGATGGCACAGGATAGGCCAGGGTTCAGATCCATTATTCATGGGTCGCTATGAGTTAGTTGACTATACGGCACCTGACAACAATAATAGACACAAAATAATATGACTAGTGAATGAATACTTTTCCCCTCTGGTTGAATTGAAGTAAAGTGTTCAGTCCGTTGATGGAAATCATGAAAATCCGGGCTTCTGTTGTCTTTACTATGAAGATGAGTCTTAATAAGTACATGAACCTGATCCCTTACAAAAAGATTGAACTAAAACTCAAAAAGTGAGAAAAACTGATCATAGTAGAATATATCCATACTTTTTAACTCCTTAATTTTAGTAAAAGCAGTTCTTTTAGAAATCTGTTAAAATATTTCAGAATAACATGGAAAACATGTTTTCCTACAGTGAATTTATATAGTTAATAACAATTTCAGTAATGATTAAATAGTGTGATAAAATGTGTTAAAAGTATATTTGCAAATATTTAAGATATACAAATGACTAGTGAGACTGTTTATCAATTTCCGTTCCTACCAAAATGAAAATACACATTTTTTAAAATTTATTTTATTTTATTAATTTTAATGAACATTTTCAGAGGAAAATACACATTCTTTAATTAACAAAAAACTTCTGTTAGTGCCCTAATGATAATCTTCCATAACTTTTATTATCTCAGAGAAACTTCAGGGTGAGAGACGTAGAAAAATTTAGTAACCTTATTTTTACTCTTTTCTACTCTTCCCCACCTATGTTATTTCATTCATTTGACACAGTTAAAACACATTCTCGTGGTTGTGTTTTTTTTCACTGTAGGCTTCTCCAGCTCACACAACTCCCCAGACCCAAAATACAAGTGGTCGTCGAAGAAGAGCAGCTAATGAAGATCCTGATGAAAAAAGGAGGAAGTTTCTTGAGCGCAATAGGGCAGCAGCTTCAAGATGCCGACAAAAAAGAAAAGTCTGGGTTCAGTCTTTAGAGAAGAAAGCAGAAGACTTGAGTTCATTAAATGGTCAGCTGCAGGTATGGTACATCTATGTCAAATTTTGTTTTATTTATTTATTAAAAATTATGAATATGATTTTTCCCTATTATTTTTTCTATTTAGCTGTCCAGATATTTTAGGACAGAATAGTGGAAATTTATGGAATCTATAATAAATCAGACTTTATAAACTTAATTGAATAGTGAGATGAAAAATATAAAACAATTGACGTTGATGCAATGAGGAAATCTTAAATACAAGTATCTAAATTATCTGGCCTGAACTTACTATAAAGTTGTGATACTCAGAGAATTTTAAAATTTAAAACTATATCTTGTATTTCACTTTCTTTTTGTTTATTTATTTTTGCTTTATATCACAACACTTAAGTTGCTTCAGTAGCAATTTTATTTTTTTAAGTTCTTTTGTCCTTTTAATTACAAAATTTTTTTTGTTTGTTTTATTCAAAGAGAATATAATGCTCGTGAAAGGTGCCAGATTGACAGCTTTGGAAACTGAAGGACTCTATTTATCCACAGACCAGGTACAATATGGCCAGTGGCAGTATATATTGTTCCACACTGCCCTGCCAATGTGCCTCAGATATATTTCTTAGGTACCCGTTGGAGTACAAAGGTTTTAAGGCTTCCTCCTCACCATTCTTTGATTCCCATGTTAAGCTTTCGAGCAGTGGTATAAAGTCCCCTCCACCAAGTCTGTTACCTCCCTTCCATGTTTTCTTCTTTCTTTTTATTTTTTGTTCTTTTGTTTTATAGTGCTTCATTTTCTATTATTATGAGTATTTTTTACTGCAATCTTCTGAAATAGCAGTTGTTAAACATTAAGGAGAAAATTGGATACAATGAATCAGTTAATTATTAATATTTAATTAAATCTTCTGACTTAGGTATTCCCAGTTAACCTTTTTTTTTAATATATAATCAAATTTGATGACAAGGATCTTATTTTCTTGTTAAATCCATCGGTAATAAAGATGTCACCAATTAAATGTGTGAAAACTTGGGATAAGATTTTAGCACCAGGCTCAGCATTTTACCCAGTGTTACTTTTTTAAATTGGGTTTTGTGGTAGCTTGAGTAAAAGTTTACAAATACAATTGCTTTTCCAGTCAGCAGTTCATACATATTTCATGACAGTGATTTTAGTCCCACTGCATTGCAGCAGCATTCTTTCACCTCCTCTCTGTGTTTCCTATTTCCATTTGTCCTCCTTTACTATTTTTGCCTGTCTTTTTTTAAAAATTATTTTTGTGCATGTTCCGTCAAATCAAATCTAACAGGCACAGGGGGAGATTGCCCCTCCTTCTCCAGCAGAGCATCTGGTGGATTCAAACTGCGCACCTCTGGGATTGCAGTGCAGCTTCTTGCCACTAGGCCACCAGAGCTCCCTTTTGCCTGTCTTTTGAGCTTTGTCTCTGAGCAAATGGAGTGTGTTCCTTTCTGGTGTTATTGATCATCCTGTAGGCCTGTTTATTTAACTGGAAGTTGGGTCACAGGAATTCCATTCCATCTGGGAAAGTCATATAAGAACTATAGCTTGAGGGGCAACTAGTCTATCAGACATGTAGTCTTGTTGTTGTTAAGTATCACTGAGTTGAGTATGACTCAGTGACCCTATGAACAGATCTGAACCCTGTTCTGTCCTGTGCCATCTTTGCACTTCCTGACACGCAAGAGCCCATTGCAGCAGTCACCGTGTCAATCCACCTGGTTGAGGGTCTTCTTCACCGTTCCTCCACTTTTCCCAGCATCATGTCCTTTTCCAAAGAATAGCCCCTCCTAGCAACATGCTCATAGTACATGAGGCGAAACCTCATCATTTCTGCCTCCAAAGAGCACTCTAGCTAATCAAGGTCTCTTTTTTTTTTAAAATAGCTTTGGGTTTTGCTTTACGTTTTCTTCTCACTCTATTACAACCTTTTATTATAATCCCTTTCAGAGTGGTAGCTGGTACCATCTAGTTCTGGTTTTAGAGTCTTGGAGACTGAAGTTCATGTGGTCATTTCATCCTTTGGATTGATAGTCATTGGTTTGCTTCTATCTTTTTTGCAGACAGGGAGATATGTGTACCTTACAAGCTTCTAAGACTCCAGTTGCTACTCAGATGTCTGTTTTTAAAATTGTTTTGTTCTATAAGATTTTTTTCACTATGAAAAAAATGTAAACACTATTTACCACATATTAGAGTATATAAAAAATGTTGTCATCTATCTGAAAAGAATTAATTTTAAGAACTGCTTTCAGTTTTATAGGAAAAACTTAATTTCATTTCCCCACTAAAATAAAATGAAACCAATTATATGTACTAATTTCTTCATGTGGTACAAAAATGGTTATTTTCCACCAGTTCTCTCTCCTAGAATATCAACTGTACAATTATAATTGTCTTACGGCTTTGTGACATAAAACACAACAATCTCTGTTAACCTTAGTTGTTTTGCTTATGTAATAGGAATAATAGTACCTGGTGGTCTTAACTTCTTATGTTTTTGTGTGAGTCATTACAATTGAAATAAATACTCATGTGTTTTCATGCAGAAAAATTTCATTTCATTAAGATAAATTTATCAATAGTTTTCTTTTATAATTTGGCTTAATATGCCTTGTTTAGGAAATAAAACTTCCTCAAATATATATAACAAAACAACAACAAAACTGTACTCACTACTATGGAGTCAATTCTTACTTGTACAGTATTCTATCAGCTTTCCTAAGCTGTAAATCTTTGCTGGAGAAAACTGCCTGTCTTTGTCTCACGGATTAGTTGGTAGATTTGAACTGAGCTTTTTGTTACTAGCCCAGCGTATAAAGCAACATGCTACTGACAAGGCCCCTTTGAAATCTATAAAAACCAAACATAGGGTTTAATTACAGGATACTCTTGGACTCTAGATTTTGTCAGTTTTCTGTTTTGACACAGTTTATGATAGTATTAGCAGCTTTTAGTGTTATACTGATAATTCCTTAGTTATACTAACTCTTTTTCAGCATTATTAATAGCAAAAGTGCTATATTACTTATGGAAAAACAGAAAATTCTACATCCCAAATAATCTTTAATTCATTAATCACATGGAGTTATTTCCCCTTGATGCCTTTGAGCTGTGGTGCTGGAGAAGAGTACCATGAGGTACCATGAGGGTACCATGGGCTGCTAGGAAAACAAACAGATTCATCCTGGAACAGGTTAAGCCAGGCGGCTTGGAGGCAAGGATTCTGAGGCTTCGTCTAACATACTTTGGACATGTTGTAAGGAGAAGGACATCATGCTTGATAGGCTGGACGGACAGTGCAGGAGGGGAAGGCCCTCTATGAAATGGATTGATTCAGTGACTAGGGTAATCGGGATGGGTGTATCAAAGACAGTGCGATTGGCACAGGACAGAGCAGAGTTTAGGGCTGTTGTATGTAGGGCCGCTATGAGTCGCAAGTGACTCGATGGCACATAACAACAACAACAACATACAAATTATGATAGAAATGCCACTTATTGTAGTATTGTACTTTTTTAAGTTCCAATTGGAAAGTTTCTCCCCCCCCACCCCTGAATATTCTTAAATTACTATAAATTCTCCCTCCTATTCCTCTGCTCATCCATCCTTGGTAGCCATCAACTTCAAAGACTATTTAGTTCTGATTGTGAACTTTTTCTGGGTTTTTTAATAATCGTTGTCTCGTTAATATTTGTCTTTTTATATCTGACTTATTTCATTTCTCTAAGTTTCATCCATATTACAGTGATGCTTCCTGAATTCTTAGGCATAATAGTCAAGGTTTATCTTCAAAGTAGAAATTAGAAGAAATTTCATTTTTGAAGAATGAAATTTTTAAATAAAATGGAAGTGAAATTTAAGAAACCAGTAAGTTAAGTTGAACATGAGTTAGTTAATAGCCCAGATTACAAACAGAATTATAAACATTAAAACCCGAGTAATAACATGGTTAGGTAAGAAAATGCTGTTCATTTTTGAGAAGTGTACCAAATACGAGGATGTAAAAGAGTGTTAAAAATTTGTGCTAAAATTCACCCATAAAGAAGAAAATTAAGGTCCATCTGAAAGTATAAACCTGAGGTAGTATCTGTAATACATTGATATGGGCAAAATATAACTTAGATAGTAAGTTGAACAGTTATTTTTTAATTAATATTTGAAAGCCAGATGAATTAACTTCTATGGAATGGAAATTGTTTAGAGGCAAAAGTTTAGTAATGGTATGTACCAAGATACCAATATGGTATGTACCATGGTATGGTATGTACCATGGATACAATGGTATGTACCAAGATAACAATAGTGAGAAAAGAGAAGTGGGAAAGTGGATGACTAGAGAATAGCAGTGCTACACTATGACTTTTAAATTAGTCTTTTTAAATTGATAAGTACTTTTTACTCCTTGTTCCTTTTTATTATTTGGCAAAGGAAATCAAATCCTTTTTTTAAAGTTTTTTTTTATTATTATTATTAATTTCAGTGAAAATTTACAGAGATTTTGGATTTCCATTCACTCATTTTTGCAATTTTCTCCCTGCCCACCCCCCCCACCCCACCCCCAGTTCATTCTTCTCTTTGAAAAGTAAAAGAAAAAGCCCTTTTTTAAGAAGTGGTACATTTTCGTTTTCAGAGTGTGACGAGTTAACATTCTTACAGTGGATTCCAACAGAATAGAATTTCTTTTAGTCTTTCAGAAGCAAAACAGGTAACTGTGAAGGACAGAATGACTTGTAAAGAAAAGTGAATGTTAAAGAAATAATTAAACTCTCTTATGTGAAAACGTTCATCAGTCCTACATATTCTTTGTAATTCTCCATGTGACATGATCAGATTAGTGGGCAATAATGACCCAAAGTTACTTACATTATGTACAATAAAAATTTAACAACTGTTAAGAGTTTGACTATGCATATTTTACTGTATACTTATTAGGCTTTAGGGAAAATATTGTTAAGCATTATTACTCTGTTCTTAGTTCCAGTTTTCTAAAATCATTTCTAGAGAGAGTATCTTTTCATCAAATTGT